CATACAAGGTGGGATATTTCAGTAACGCATGACAGGCGTTATCGGCAGGGTTGCCATTATAAACTTGTTATACACTGCAACTGCCATGTACCCATTAATGGGTAAAAAAGGACCCATTTTTGATGACTATATGAGGCTGTCAAATAATGGGTGAAGTTCAATTTCAAATAATGGGTACTCTTTTACCCATTTCTCAGAGCGCTTCGGGCGAGAATAATGAGTACTTTTTTACTCATTAATGGGTGAAAAGCAACTTAGATAACATCTTCCAGTCCTCGCTTCAGTCGCAAAGTGTCTTAACGATGTCGAATGGAAATTGCTCGTTTGAAAAGTAGGTATTTCTTATTTTATTTCTTTCTGCCCACATCTAAACATCAATCTGAAACTTGCAGGGACAGAACTAGCCGGATCAGCAAGGAGATCCCAGGAGAGCTTTGGGAGCACCATTTCTTGCACGAACGATGGAAAGACCACTGGATGGAAAATGGTGAAATAAAGATATAAATATAAATAACGTTTTGTATTCTTAACTATTCATTGTGGCTCTTTCAATGATCCATAAATCATACAAATTCTAAAAGAAAAATCCTGGTTTAAGGATTTCAAAATTGGGTACTTTGTACCCATTTTATAAAGCTAATTATTATTTAAAAATGGGTAAAAAAGTACCCCATGATTTGACGTACAAGGTCTTTACCCATTAATGGGTAAAGACGTTTTACCCATTAAATGAGTTTACCTACTTTACTTCGAAATGGGCACTTTTTCACGCATTAATGGGTACTTTCCAGTTACAGTGTACCACACAGAGTTGATAGAACCTGTTGCAATGCCCTGTCATGTTCTTCTTCTGTCTGTCCGAAAATGATGATATCGTCGATATAATTGACTGTATTCTCACAACCTGCTAGAATCTGCTCTAAGGCCTTCTGGAACATTTCCGGCGCGCAGCTGACGCCGAACATCAATCGCTTAAAACGGTATAGTCCCTTGTGAGTGATGAACGTCGTTATATCTCGGCAATCCTCCTCGAGCTCTAGTTGATAGTAGGACTCCTTAATATCAAGCCGACTGAAGAACTTGGCAGCTTTGAGGCGAGGAAGAAAATCTTCGATAGTTGGCATCATGTGGTGTTCTCGTCGTATAGCTTGATTTGCGCGTCGCATATCCACGCATAGGCGAAGATCTCCGTTATCCTTCACTATCGTCACTAGCGGTGATACCCACTCGCTGGCTCCAGTGACTGGTTCAATTATATCTGTAGTCAGAAGTGCCGACAATTTGTCTTCAATACGTGAAAGCAGAGCAATAGGTGGGCGTCTGACATGTTGTACAACAGGAGTTATAGTTCTGTCGATAGGAATTCTCAATTTGACATCCTTGATTTTAGGAAAAGGCCTTTTTTCGTCTACAACCTGGTTCAAAGAAGATTGGACACTAGGTAAACCGATCGACAATACTCCTAGCTTGGTAGCAGTCAATCGCCCGAGTAAGGGTTGTGTACCTCCCTGTACTACATAAAAGCGATCGCTCCTTTCAATCCGCTTTCCGGCATCCTCAACAGAAATAACTGCTTCAAACATTCCACCTATAATCAATAATTAAACAATAGTTTCGAACCTCAAGTGTATACTAGTATCTGTAACACAAACCTACTGCTAACGGTTCCGAATCGCGGCCATACGCACGGAAAGTTTGATCGGCTTCTTTCCAAAATTCCTCAACTTTCACTCCATGAGTTTTCATGTACGCCCACGTCCTGTCATCTATAATGTTCTTGGCACTTCCAGAATCAATCAACATTTGGATCATGACGCCTCCTACTTTGACCCAGATAAATTTGTCCCCATTTCCGATACTAAAGATGAAATTTGGCGGTACCGGTTTTTCCTCCTCGCTGTCCTGAACTCGCATGATACCTTGGGATTTCGGTTTCTTTCCCCGCCATTCGATAGGGTTATTCGCGCTTCGCTTCTGAGGAAGTGTGATTGTTCTGCACCGTTTATAGAAATGGCCGATTCTGTTACATTTGTTACACCTTTGATCTTTAGCTGGACACTTTGGATCATTTCCGTAGTGGTTCTTACGCCCACAGCGGTAACATTCACCGGTTGGGTTTTTCGACGAACCTTGAATCTTGCAGACATTAGTGCCATTATCCATCCAATAGCTAGGTGCTGAACGTTCTGTACTCGATGACGCTGTTTTCATCTGCTGTGATTGATATTTCACTGCTTCATACGAACTGACCACTCGAGTTACATCGTCTAGTGTCAAGGACTCCTTTTGCAGCAGTTTCTCCTTTAATTCCGGAGGAGCAAACAGAATTATCTTGTCAACGACAGCGATATTACGACTCTCCTCAAGGGTACTTCCGAAATTGCATTTTCGAGCCACCTCAAGCGAACGCCACAAAAACTTCTCCATAGACTCATCCTCCATTGGCTTCAAATTCCAATAGGAATTCCTTTCGAAAGCTTCGTGCCGTTTGGGCGAAAAATATTCATCAAGTTTCTCGATCGCCGTTTGATACGGATCGATCTTCTTTTCTTTGTCTTCATCAACGTCAGCTCCTGGTATTGAAGAGAAAACTTCCTGCACGTCCGGGCCGGCTCTAGCCAAAAAAATATTTTTCAATCGGGTTTTGTCCTTTTCCCCATTGGCAGCCGCTATGAAACCGAAATTCCGTTTATATTTCTGCCATTCGTCGCGTACGGTACTGTTTGGAATCGATCTGAACTTGAATTGCGGTATGTCCCATTTGTCCATCTTTGATTATTTGATAAAAACGCTAAAATTTAAAATAATTGTTTTTGGTTTTCGTTTGTTAGTAAATACTATTTACGCATTCACCTTTCCAAAATCGACGAATTACGTTTAAACACGGCCAACAATACGATTGACATCCACGAATCCTGTCGGCCGGCCAGTTTCCGTCTGGCGGCTTCTTGCCTTTATCGGTCGTCCTCGACCCGAGAGCTACGTTCCTTTTGACGGTCTTCCTCGACCTGACGGCTTTCTGCCTGATACGGTCTTCCCTGACCTGACGGCTTACTGCCTGGTACGGTCTTCTCACTGACCTGACGGCTTTCTGCCTGCTACGGTCTTAATCTGACCTTCGTCGTGCAATGCACCGACCACTACTTGGATGTAGTATTTTCCACTAAATTAGACAAAATGAAAACAAATTCTTATTAGAATTCTTGCCATCCACATTTTTTTTTTTTTTTCCATCACGCATAACATAACCAAGAAGAGTCTTTCCTAGCCCAGCAAAAAAAAGTTTTTTTTTTTTCTTTTCTCCAATATTTCTAAATAAATCTTACCTGTAATTAATTCCAGTTTATATCCGTCGTCGCCAGATGTGATAACCCGTTTTATTAATGATTAATCAACTAATAATTAGTGCTTTTAATAAGAACGTTTATTTAACGATTATCTGTTCCTCTACGTTTCTCTACAGATGTCATAGTACCGTCCGTCTGCCCAGTGGTTAGCCGTACGGCATATTGACATCCGTAGCTCAGCTTCAGCCCAGTGGCTGTGGCTACTTACGGACTGCCACAGTAACTACTACGGTAAGATTATTTTTAGGCGAAGACATATTATCCTTAATGACACCACCTTTATTCACAGGTTGTTAAGAATCTTCGACCATATGATCTTGGAAGATTTGTAAACAAGACAAGGCTTATGGAGATGGCTACATGTTATTAAATGTTGTGGATTAGTTTAACATTGAAAAGTGAAAGATAGATAAATTTTCCTAATGTTTTTTTTAATAATTTGACTATTCAAATACAAGGAAACTTCCTGAAAAAAACACTGTTTAATCAATGCTGAATTTTCAGCAAAATTTCACGGATCTTCTTAGATAAAAACTGCTGAATTTTCAGCAAACTCTTGTCAAAAACCATTTGCTGGATTGTCAGCAACATTTACTTTGCTGGATGGATTGCTGGTTTTCCAGCTCGGCAAAATCCAGCAAAATTTTGCTGGTTTCCAGCGAAATAAAAATAGTGTGATATACGGATTATTCAGTAAAATGGATTGGCAATCGTTTTGTTGGAAGAACAGTAATTTTCGTTTTTGTTTTGAAGAAATCACATTTTTATCAGAATACACAGTTTATTAAATGATCATGTTCGTATATAATACATCCCATTATGTGCTGGATTTCGGTTGCGCACATTTATACCAAAATCGGTATGAAATTTCGCCAGACTGTAAAGATAAAAAGGAGTCTTATGACTTCCGCAGCATTATTGATTTTCTAGTGATATATTTATGGTGTGCACTTATACATTATTCAACCGACCGCAAAAATATCTCATAGCTCGTAGCAGCCAACGATAGAACCATAGAGGTAACTCTAAGGCCAGAAGGTCCCGAAATAACGTGCTCAACTTTTTGACTCAGCTCTGGTACTCTCTTCGGTCCCAAGCTAATCGATTCACCCATGAAAATCCACTAACCCCTCATTTTATCTGTCAAACTTTCATAGCGAATCAAAACAAACATAGTGTAGTACTAGAATTTTTACTAGAATGGGGTACGTTATTCGATTTGCTTGGGACCAATCGGCTATAGTCAAGAAGTGAGCCAATATAAAATCGTTAGTTTCGTATTGAGTGTTGATAGAACCTAGCTGGATTTTGACATTAAATTCTGTTAACTGGAAAATCAGCAAAATAATACAGATTACTGGTTTTACAGCAAAACTTGCTTTTGCTGGATTCACTTCAGCAATTCATTTAGCTGGAACTTGAACTCAAAATTTGGTGTATATTCTCCCTCCCTCCCTGAGAGAGTTTGAACGGCCGTGTGCCATTTTGGGGTTTTCCGAAAATGCCCAAATAAATGTAGATTCCCTTTCAGCGTTACGTTCTGATGATTTCTGTAACGCCTTCTCATTTTTTTCAGCTGTCGTCGTCATCGCGAGAACCGTCAGGCGGTTGTAAATAAACATTCGAAATCAGAACTAAATTCCGACCAGCAGCAGTAGGTACCTACTAATCAGTGATCAGTGATCAGTGGCTAGCAAAAGTAGAAACGTATATAGATTGCCTCAGCCTGAGAAGTCAAACACATAGTGCGTGGAATGTGATAACTTAGAGCAGATACGACCGTGACAGCAACACTCGAAGCTCGTCTTGAAAAGCAAACAAATTAGCATAAAGATCAACCCATTGTTCAAGCGTATGTCAGAGGAACACGCGTAGAACCAGTTTAAGCTTCGCCAGGCTAGACGACCCATCGTCTGTGAGTGCTTTAGTAATATGTCCCTCCTAAGTCGATTCCGAGGGTTGCCCAGTGTGCTTCTTCAACATGCCAAAGCCAGTTACTCCAGTTCAGCTACGGCAGCTAAGCTCCAGGAACTAGCCCTGGAGGAAAATTGCATCCTTGTGAACGAGAATGACCAACCGCTGGGCAATGCCTCGAAGAGAGATTGCCACCGGGTGGACGAGACCGGGAACATCCGGTTGCACCGGGCCTTCAGTGTATTTCTCTTCAATTCCAAGGGCGAAATGCTGCTACAGCGAAGGTCTACCCACAAGGTGAGCAGGTTTGGAATATTGTTGCGTAGAAAGTGAATTGATGCTTGGAGAAACGTCCGCACCAAAGTACACACTATCAACAGCAGCTTTGTAAAGTTATCGTACCAAATTCCACTGCTGTTTACTTTCTCTTGTGCGATTTTTTCTCTTACGTCACGGCACAACGATGGCATCGCTCGCAGGATAGATAGCTGGCATTGAAGTCTCTCTTTGCTCAGATTTGCGTATTGGTGTGCTCTTTTTGCGTAGCACCAAATTAACAGTGTTAACCCTCTTCTTCCCATGCTGGTTTGTCCATCTACCATTCAATAGTCAATACTTATTCAAGCTTCTTCGTGTGGTCAATATTCTCGTCCATATGTGTTATTGACAAGCCACTATTCAAAAACAATTAAAATAGTATTGATTTTAAACATAAACTTTTGTCAACGGATTCAATAATTTCAGGCTATATGGAACATCTTTTGTTCAAGCCCTGCCGTCAAAACACATTTTTTCATGTTAAAACAACGGAAGACCATCTGGGAAGGAGAGGGTTAAGTAGGAAAGGGTTTTGAATCTTCTTAATTTATGCAGTATCAGCGACAGCGACAATATAAGTCTACGATACTAAACATAACAACTGACGCAAATGTTTCCCCTACTGCTACCGGAATAAATTATTCAAATTTTGTCAACCCTGAAAACATGCAGATTAGAAGGTCTTTGGCTGTTTTTTTTAAAGCCCTATTTATTTTTATTTTTAGATAACGTTCCCCGATTGTTACACGAATGCGTGCTGCAGTCATCCATTGCACGACATTGAGGGGGAACGGGAGGAACTGAATGCGCTAGGAATCCGCCGAGCCGCCCAGCGGAGACTGAACTATGAGTTGGGCATTCCACTAAGTCAGGTGAGTGATGCAATATTACATCGATAAGGGGAGGATTGATTAATGTAATATTACATAGTGCATAGCTAGAACGTTTGCACTGTGGTCCAGAAGGGCGTTTTCTGGTAAAAACTAAAAAAGTGCATGAAGTTGCAGTTTAATCAAGTTGGTGTCTTGAGACAAGTTTTGATTAAAAAAAAAGGCGCATCTGATGTGGACGAAAAAAATTAGAATTTCTAACTTTTTTCTATGTGGTTTAGGAAAATCAAATATTCCACAAAGTTATAGATCTTATAATTTTCATAAGCTTTGCTGAAGACATGAGTAAGTGGTAAGTGGTTAGCATCCATGCTTCTCACGCTGAAAGACTTGAGCTCAAATCTCACCCCGGGCAAGTCACGAATGACCTACACACTTAGTTTTTTTTTTCTACCGAACTCGGCAAAAAAAGTTTTACTCAGACCTCAAAGACAGATAAACTTATATTAAAATTTAAACAAGATGTTAACAGCAGAACTTCAAGTTAAGTTGCTTTCATTCAAAAAGTCTTGACTGCATAATGAAAACACAATATGCTACCAGACTTATGTCACGACAATTGAAATCAAAATGAGTTTTCATTATGATAGGGACTGCAAACTTTAATATCGATTTGCTTTCATTTTGTTAACCGATTTGCTCGGGTCTCTCGGCATTACATAATGTAGTAATGGATACCACACCAAACTATTGCTGAACCGACAAGATCACCATAGAACAACAATTTTCTGTTCGTCTTTGATGCTAACCACGCACTTAACACACCGTAAAACCTAATATGGGCTACTAAAAGTAGTTTTTATCAATTAATGTGTCGTACTAATAAACGAATATTATAACCAAAAACAGAGCAACGGTAACAACGACGTGACGTACACGAAAGCGAAAATTTCATAGTTCGATACTTCAAATAGTGTTGGAATTTGAAAACTTTTCACACTCCCTAATCTTTTCCTTAATCTCCCCTCCACCCTGAACCTTGAAGATTGTTCTAAATACCGGATCATGAAATTTTCTAAGCATGAAATCTTCAAAAACCTACATATCAGAATTTCAAGTTTTTCGCAAACTATGCATCTTGATCCTTTTTCTGTGTCTAAAATCTCGAAATGTTTTATGGAAACATTGAATTCTCTTATAATTTCCTCCATAATACTCTTGAAAATATGGGGCCTCCCTTAGCTCAGTCGGTAAAGGCGCAGCTGGTGGCTGGGTTCGATTCCCGGTCTGGTCTAAGCATTTTTCGGGTTGGAAAATTTCTCAACTTTCCTTGGCATCAGTGTTGGAAAAGTGCACGATATTTCACGAAGTTCACCAAGGGAAAAGTTCGCGAGTCATAGTGAGTTTTCGCGAACTTTTCCATCACAGCTTGGCATAGAGTATGATTGGACTGGCCACACAATTATACTAATGCAAAAATGGTACAGGCATCGAAAGCTCTCAATTAATAACTGTGGAAGTGCATCTATGTAGAAAACTAAATTGAGAGCATGCAATAAGCTAATATGCGATATGCAATAGGCTTGAAATGCGAAGACGAAGACTCTTCTGCAAAACACTCTATGAATCCACTCTGCAATGCTCTTCATATTTTTAATAAATCTAGCAATTCTCCGAAAAATACTCCTGAAAAAAGAATCACTTGGAGTCAACATGCTCTGAAATTTCCACGCGGAATTACCAATTTTTAGTTATGCTCAGAATTTCCATTAATTCTTTGATTCAGCATTTCATTGAACTCTCATTTTAATTTTCTATAAATTAACCGGAATATTCTTAGAATATTTGTCAGAATTCATTAGAAATATTTCTCAAAATTTTGATGGAACTTTCCTCGGAATTCAGAATTCAATTCCCTTGGATTTTTTCTGGGAACCAACCAAGCAACCAACGATACAGACAAAACTGTTGCTACGACTACCACGATATCATTATCCTTCTACCACTCCGATCGAGCTATGTTACAGAGTGAGACCATTTAAAGTAAACATTATAACAAATTAAAAAATAATTTTAGGTTGAATTCAAATTTTCTTGCAATCCAGTTTCGTACTCCTGTGTCTCAGACGTCATTTATATTAGATGAGCCATCTTCGTGTTCTAATTTAATGAAATATATACCATGGTCTACTTACACAGTTAAAATTATTTTGTAATTTTACACGAATTTCCATGCACATAAAACGAGCATGCATATTCATGTAAAATTAAATTGGTTTTTAAATTTACACGACTTGAAATTTACATGCATGTAAAATTAAACGTCTCTTGAATTTTACATGGATGGCTTTCGATGGACATTTAGAATGACACGCATTTGGCTTTTTGAACGAATTTGCATAAAATCGAACTGATTGACAGGTACGCGGAATTATCACCCACGTGGAATTACCCGCCTTCACGGCACTGTACAGGGTGCGTGACGAATTTTTGCAGTAAATGGCATATTTGAGAAAAAATACACCAGTTAGTTATTCTGGCAATGAATTTTGTGCGATTTATTTTCTTTCGCAACATATGGGAGTTGTAAGTAAATTTATTCAAAAAAATTGCCTTCCCTTTCGACGACTGTAGTTAGACGCTTCCGGAAACTGCAGTATGCACGTTTTAAAATGTTTCGATCCATAGATGTAATCACTGCCTTGATTTTAGCTTTTAGCGACTTAAGTGTGGTGTGAGGGGTTCTATTGGTATCCCGTTGGACGACGCCCTATACAAAATAATCCAACGGATTGATATCGGGACTGCTTGGGGGCCAAATTTCTTTCTCCCAAATTAACGAAATATTTTCCGTAAGCCATTTCTGTGCTTTATTAGCAGTATGAGCAGGTGCTCCATCTTATCACTTTCCCAAGCCTTTTTTAATATTATACACTGTTCTTCCAGACACATTTACCGACCGAATTATTTCTTTCATGCATACTCCGAAGGGCACGCAATAACCTTTAACTCCTACGCAAGCCTTTTTTAAGTACAATAATTACAGTTAACTACATGATTAATTACTTAAATTACGAGCGTCTGAATTTTTTTGATTTAATTACTTTTAAGTACAAACTTCAGCTTTAATTACAAGTCGCTTAAATTAAGTACATTAACTCCATTAATGTACAGCGAAAAATGTACTTAAATTACTCCTAGCGTACCGTTAGACCCTTTCGTTATTGGCCCGTGAAACACAAATTTCACAGGCCCTTTTGCTACGTAAGATAATGTCAGCTCTGATAGATTGTATCGCTACCGCTGTTATGACTTCAGAATAGACCCTATAAACATACATCTCCCGGGACCTACGAGGAAATCTACGTTGGTGATTGGTGCCAATTCACATGCAACGATCGGTTCGTGATTGGAAATGTAGTCGGCTTTCAATACTGCCCTGGATCACGACCCTGTCAAAGCACCGGAGAATGCGACAATGAAAGGAATGTTTGTTTCTGGTTCAACCTAAGAAATAACGAATTTAATTTGGTCGATGTTAACAAAAACAGAATTACAATAGAAAACTATGATAAGCCTCGTGATAAGCACGTTTTGCCTCTTTGTATTTAACCCCAAAATGTATGGTTAAGGGGAAGTTCATTGAAATCAAAAATAAATATTTTTATACTCTAAACATATGAATGATTCAAAGTAAATTGAAAACATGTTTAAAAATAAAATATGTATTTTGAATTAAATTCAAAAGCATGTTTTTTGAGCAATATAGAAATCAATCGTATTTGAAAGCATCAGTCACCTATGTGTCTGTGTTTGACTGGCGATGATCAATTTCTGTACGTGGTACCTGATCAAGCGGGAACGGTGACAAAGGCGCAGAAGGCGGTAGTTATTTCGCTAGCCATTTCGCAGGATCAGAAGTTTTTTTTTTTAGGCCGATAAGGGACTGTTCATAAACTACGTAGACATTTTTTTTTATTATTGACCCCCCTCCCCCTGCATAGATAATTGTCCATACAAATTTTTTATATGGGCCGTGCATAATTGTCAACCCCTCTAAACTGTCTACGTAGTTTATGAACAGCCCCTAAGAGAAAGAGCTGAACGGACACTGGAGCTGGTGAATACTTTGGACATTCACACGCTGCGCTACTTCTGGGAAAAAATCGCAGCTAGTAGGGTAGGATGGTGCAAAACGCACCGTTTAAGCAAAATCGTCAATGGCTGGCGAATGGAAGCTAAAATCAAGAAGAAAGTAATGGCGTTTGGTTCATTACCATGTTTTCTACAAAGATCAAGTGATTTAGAACTACAAAAGGATGATTTTCTATGACTTTCAAGGTATTTTTTAAATTGCTTCCCTAATGATAGCGGGGCAAAACGCCTGATTCATGATGCAATATGCACCACAACATTGGGACAAGACGCACGACAACAATGGCCAAAACGCACCACAACATTGGGGTAAAATGCACCCCATGGTTAACAAACCATAACCCCTGCAAGTAGATAATGCAAAGGGATGCGGTATTTCAAATGATTATTTCTTTATGTTACATCAGAAATAAGGTCTCAAAATCTCAATAGAATGTTAAACTGTGATTCATCAAGTAAAATATCTAAAAAATATACGAAACGTAAATTTTTTAATTTTTTTTTTTGTGATACATGATGATAAAAGCTTAATTTACAGTCGATGATTTTAACAACTGTGTCCTGTTTTGCACAAAATGCAATTTTTTTTAAGGAATCAGTAGGTCAATACATGATTTTATGATCAAGAATTATTTGTTGAACCTCCAGTTGAAAACAATCACAAACCGTTACCCGGAAAATGCATATGAGGAAAAGTTATCGCTGTTTTTCTATAAGTGGGCATTTTACCCCAGGGGTGCATTATGGGCTGTTCTCCCTTATGCAATTGTCTTCCCAGCACGGATAACTTGAGTGTGTCAAGTTGCTCGGTAACGATCATTTCGTGTCCTGTGCACATGGCACTCATCGTTTCCTATCGGTTTGGAATTCTGCCCATAGTATTGTTT